TTGGGGAGACATCCGGGGGCCCCAGATGGGCCCCGCGTGGTGCTGGCGGCTGGCAGGGCCGCTACTCCGAGTTTCTTCATAAGCGTCGGGGGGGCACCCCCACACGTTTAGAGTACGGCTGAGGGAAGAAATTCAGCAACACTCTCCCCCCGCTCCCTCCCTCGCAATTCAAAGTCGGCACGTCCCCTGAAGACCATTCGGAGGCCCCAAAATCGGAAGACCCGAAACAAGCATTGCATTTGGGGGGAGGGGGGGAGAGTTCAAGCCACATGTTCTGCGTGAGTGCTGCTTGCTTGTTGTTGGCGTCTGCAGCTCGCATGTCCAGTCTTGCAGCCGAGGCGCCCTCTGCTCCACCGAGAGGCGGCAGGCCCCTGTGCGTGAGAAGCACCCGAGCGAAGGCCACAGCGGTCTCGGGTGAGGCGACAGGTGTCAGAAACAAGTAAGCGACACTCATGCAGAACATTTGGTTTTGACTCACCCCTCCCCCCAAATACAATGCTGGTTTCGGATCTTCCTAGTTTGGGCCGCCGAATGGTCTTCAAGGAACGTGCCAACTCTGAACTGCGGGGGAGGGGGGGGAGTGTTGCTGAATGTCTTCCCTCAACCAGGTCTCCGCTACGGAAGAGGACTCACGCTCTCCAGCAATTCCGTCGAACAACACTCTGCTGGCTGGGATGGCCCCTGTGAAGTTCCAGGGCGTACCCTTCTCCCCCAGCGCAGCCACAATGAATACGGGACAGCTTCCTCCCCCCTCTCCTTTTTCTCCCCCCCTCCCTCCCTTTCCCCTCACTATTCTCTCCCTCCCCGACTTATCGCGCTCCTCCTTCCTTCCCTGCTTTATCTGTCGCCAATACCTCCCCCTGACCGCTTGTCAGACAGGGAGCGGATGCCAGCTCAGGTTCTGCGTGCCGGGGCAAGTGACTGCCCACTGGCCCACTTGTGGCCCATACCGCTCAAGCTGATTGACGCAAAGAGCTTGATGAAGTCAAACAAGAATCAAGCAGTGGCGAAGCGTCCCGGCTCGCTTATAGTCCCACCAAACAATATTCTAAGAACCTTTTGTGGTCTGCACGAAATGTTCTTAGAACATTTCTGGCTGATATTGTCTTGTTTTAACACATCGGGTTCATGTTATAAGATCACTGTTTTTGTTCTTAGATTTTTTTGATTATGCGAACATGTCGTGGTAGGGCTATAGGAATGCCGGGACGGTCGCCCCCTGCTCAAAAAAATCCTTCTCTCTCTTTATATTAGGTGATGCTGACGTGGTCGATACGAGATACCTACTCAGCAGATTGCCGCCTGCTGCAGACATGCTTCTCCATGATGGGCGAGGACAGACGGAAAGGCGATGCGCGAGATTCCAAGTGTCTCAAAGGATATCTTTTCCGGTTCCACGGATCTGGCAGGAGGAAGCGGGGACCATGAGGAGGAGGAGGAGGAGGAGGAGGAGGAGAGAGGAGGAGGAGGAGGAGGAGGGAGGAGGAGGAGGAGGAGGAGGAGGAGGAAGAAGAAGAGCAAGCAAGCAAATAGGCAAGCAGGTAAGCAATCACCCATGGAGTCTTGGTGCAAAGCAGCGGTTTGGCGTTGGACATGGTGCGGACTCTCAGGGGGGATCACGCCTGAGCGTCGGCCACCTCTGAACGTGAGCTCGCCTAAAGGGCGCACTGCCCCTGTAAGGGCAACCCTCACTGCGGGCACGCATCCCTGGAGGGCGCCCTCAGGGACCGACGCGCGAACCCCGCCCCCCCCCCCCCCCCCCCTCGGAGGAGGAGGGGGGGAGAGAGGAGGAGGAGGAGGAGGAGGAGGAGGAGAGGAGGAGGAGGAGGAGGAGGAGGCAGGAGGAGGAGGAGGAGGAGGAGGAGGAGGAGGAGGAGGAGGAGGAGGAGGAGAGGAGGAGGGGGAGGAGGAGGAGGAGGAGGAGGAGGAAGGGAGAGGAGGAGGAGGGGAGGAGGAGGAGGAGGAGGAGGAGGAGGAGGAGGAGGAGGAGGAGGAGGGGAGGAGGAGGAGGAGGAGGAGGAGGAGAGGAGGAGGAGGAGGAGGAGGAGGAGGAGGAGGAATAGGAAGGGGAAAGTGTGAGGAGGAATCTGAGGAGGAGGAGGAGAAGGTGGAGGAGGAGGAGGGTGAGGGGAAGGAGGAGGAGGAGGAGGAGGAGGAGGACGAGGAGGAGGTGGAGGAGGAGGAGGAGGAGGAGGAGGAGGAGGAAGAGGGCGGTGGGGACAGTAAGGGGCATCCGCCCCAGAGGGAGATCCTTGCCCCCTGGGAGAGCCTCCCGCTCCTCTCAAGAGGTCTCGATGCCTTGCACTCGCAGTCTGGGCATTCTCGCCTCGCGTCGGAGGCCGAGAACGCTGCCTACTCGTTTCGCCCGCCCACCCCCGCTCCCCAGACCCCTCGCGTCGTGAAAAAAACACGACGGGAGGTTTTTCGGCATTTGTGGGCCCTCGCCGGGCCTCGGGACTGTCAAACAACGACTCAGGATGAGAAACCGGTCCCTGGGAATGGGTCGAGATGTCTGGGGGTCGACGTCGTGACAAAATCACGACGTCGGGGGTCTGGGTCCCGCTCCCCAGCGACGCTGACTCTACGGTGCTTCATGGGGCTACCGTGCTGCCGAGTGTACTTACCGAGCCAGCTACACCAAAACGAACGCGTAGGCTCCGAGCTGGTGGTGATTAAAAATGGGGCCTCAGAACTCGAAAGAACCTGCTCCTCGGCTCTTCCCGTCTCTGTATCACCTACTCTCAGGAGAACTTCCCCTTGCCCTGGGCCTCGATCGTGCGGGCGACCTCACCCTCCAGCGGACCACGGGGAGCGGCTCTAATGTTGCGAGTGCCCTTGAGGGCGGTCATGCTCTTCGGGATGAGCTGGCGGAGTGTCTGCGAGCGCACGTAGTGTGGGTCGAGGACCCACACGATTCTCCTCTTGCGCACGGCCTGGCCCACGGGGCGCCCGCGGAGAAGGTCTGCTCGTGCGGCGTGCCCATCGAGCTCCAGTCGATGATCTGCCCCTCGGATTGCTTTTCCTTCCACTCCTTGCTCGCCGCGTTGGATTTCTTTCCAGCCTCCCTGAGAGACGCTGGCATGCCGTCGGCCACGTCGGCGATCTCGTAGGTAGTGAAGACTGTGCCAGTCAACCCCGCGACAGCGCGACTGTCGGCCAGTATCGACCGAGTCAGCACGTAGAGCAACTTTGTTCGTGCTCGGACTTGGACCCCCCCCGTGCGGCTGTGCTTGGAGGCGGGCAGCCCTGCCAAAGGCGGGTGCACGTGCAGCTGCTTCATCCAGCCCGGCATCTCAACATCGAACGCGCCCGACATCTTGGTCAAGTGGGTATGTCTACACAGGGCGTTCGGGAAGGTGCTGGGCCGGATGGCTACAGAGGTCGGGCAGGTCCGCCCCCACGAATTCGCGAACTGGGCGCGGTAAGCTCGATGGCGTTTGATTTTCGTGAAATGTCGTGGGGCCTCGACTGTTGCAGAAGCCCTTAGTGGCCGACTGGCTCAAGTGGCGACCTGCGGTGACCCTGGAGGCAAACGAACGCGTATAGTAGATACACATTCGGTGGGCGAGAAGAGGTGCCCAAGAGATTTTGAACGTTGTGCCCATGCCGAATAGATTCGAGAAGATCTCGCCTGGTCCGAAAAGCAGCAGAGCAGATGTTTCCTCCGTCGGGCCATTCATACTTCCACGGGAGAGGCGGTGCCTCTCCAGCGTCCTCTGGCGCCGCCGGGGCGTGCTCGGGCGGAGGGACAGCCACTCGGAGCTCACGTGCTGGCAGCTCGGCAACATCAAGCTGACGGAATTCGGTCGCCACCTGTGGGTCCAGGAACTCCAGAGGCTTGTCAGCAAGATGAACCAGCAGATCATATTCCATCTGCGCAGTTGCACCTCGAAAGTCGTCCTGAACACGTTTGGCCCAGTGAGAAGCGTGCCTCGAAAGCAACGGATATGCTGTTGGTCGATAAGGGTGGCCCCCGACCCCTCGCTCGACCTCGATCCCGCCGAACAGGGAGTAGAGTCGTAGAGGACGTGGGCGTCTTCGGTGGGGTGTTTACTCCAGTCCTGGTACCATCGCAGTCGTTGAACCCGCATCTCGATCTCGCATCGGGCAATCTTCCAACGGACACGACACCTTCTCGTTCTTCCGCGTGCGAATGTTCCTCGGCCACGCAGCGGGACGCGGGCAGGGCAGGCAAGACGCGAGTCCATGCTCTGGTACTGTGCGGTGGAAAGGTCGAGGGACTCCAGTCCACTCAGCATCGCAGTTTGGAGGAGAAACAGGAGGAGGAGCATGAGGATGAGGAGAACATGCATAAGAGGAGGAGGAGGAGGAGGAGGAGGAGGAGGAGGAGGAGGAGGAAGAGGACGAGGACGAGGACGAGGACGAGGAGAAGGCGGAGGAGGAGGAGGAGGAGGAGGAGGAGGAGGTGGAGGAGGAGGGGGAGGGGGGAGGAAGAATGAGACGCAGCAGGGTGAGGATCATGAGTGGGAGGAGCAGGAAGAGTAGGAGGAGGGAGGAGGACAAGGATAACAATGAGAAGCAGGAGGAGCAGCCGGAGGCGCAGGCGCAGGAGCAGGAGCAGGAGGAGCATGAATACGAGGGTGGTCGGGTAAGCGAGGTCGAACGAGCCCGTCGCCCCGCCCACTCCCACCCACCCTCCCACAGCAGAAGAGCTCTCGGTGGCGCCACTCGCTATTGGGACTGGCCAGTGTTCCCACCCAGCGCACGGAAGGCACTCGCGCGCGGCCTCGCTCCTGACGACATGGTGAGGCACGGGCGCCAGCGGAACTTCCAGAAGCTCCACGCGCGGCGTTGCGGCGAGAGCACCGAGCAAGCGTTCCCCGGCGCGGCCAGCTTGCCGAGGAGTGCGGCGACGACGAGGCACGCACCGCGCCGAAGCAGCCTTGCCACTGTCCGGCAACATCCGCGCGGCGCCAGGGCTCGAGGGCAGCATTGCGCCCGCTCTCGCGCGGCTCCGCGGCTCTTGCGCCTCTTTCTCC